CAAGGGAGGGGCCCCATCGAGTTGAGCGGGATCGGGGAGAGCGACGTGCTGGCGGAAGTGGCGCTTGGCGGCCCTCCCCACTCGCTCCCTGCAGAAAGTCCCGGGGGGCCTGCCTAGAAGCTAGACATGTGCGGGCCGGGTGGCAAGCGGGGTGCTGCCGGGCTCTGCTGCCCCCCCAGTGCAGTGGCACCCACGCCTGGGCAAATGACGTCACCCTTGCCCCGTCTCCGAAGAGTCCACCCTGCTCCAAGGAGAAGAAGAGGGAAGCCGCCCTGGGGGCACATGGGAGGGCGAGAGGATGATATGCCCGTGCGGATTCCCCCGAAACCTGGGCCAGCGGGGACGGGCCGCTCATCCTGCTGCGCACCTTTGCCGGGAGGCAGGCTGGTCTCGCTGCCCCAGCAACGTGCTCGTCCGTAGGGAGCAAAAGGCTCTCCGTTCATCTTGCCAAGGCTTCCATGGTTGAGGGCTGTCACGAAATCCGTGGTGCTTATGCCATAGCTTTGCATGAAGAATGGCTGCAGTGTTTTGGTTTGTTTGTTTGTTGAAAGTACATTTCTCCAACATTGTCTGGATATGTTCTGCTGTTCAGTATTCCTTTCCCTGAGGAAAAAACGCCAGACTCATGGGATGACTCCGGCCCGTCACGTCCAAGACGGTGCCGGCAGCACCTCTCTCCCCTCCTCTGTGGAGCTGCCTCCCGTCCAGAGATCGCTGGGCAGCAGGCAGAGTGCCATTTTTCCAGATGGCCGTCAAGACGAGTTGACATGCTTCCGTGGATGTGCATAGGCTGGCAGCATGCAGAACCATCAACACTGACGCCCCCTCTCCTCTCCTCTCCTCTCCTCTCCTCTCCTCTCCTCTCCTCTCCTCTCCTCTCCCCCGTAGGCCATGTACACAACAAATCGCGGGACTGTAGGAGGGTTCTTCCTGGCTGGCCGAAGCATGGTGTGGTGGCCGGTGAGTTGGGCGCTGTGGGGAGGTGTTCTCACAGAGGGCAGGAGGGTGTGCACCTTCCCCGAGCGAGCGGCACCTGCCTGTTCTTTCCTCCGAGGACCCAGCAGGAGGCCACCATGGCCAGGGAGGGCCGGTCCAGGCATCTAGGCTGGGGCCGGGCCGGGGCTGGGGGCAGCTCCTCAGCTGACCTTTGTGCAGCCCGAACTCGCTTGCAGAAAGGAAGGGCAGGGTGTGAGCGCCACTCCCCTTCCTTTGGCTCCATCTTTCTCGCCCGGGGAGGGTTCTCACCTGCCTGAGGGATGGGCAGCCAGCTGGGGGCTGCTGCAGGGAGGGCTTCCCGGAGGGAGCATTGCTCCATGAGGCCCGGCTCCGGCCAGCCCCGGGGGCTGTGCTTCTGTGGAGGGGCCCCTGGTGCGAGTGGGCCGTCTCTGCGCTCCCACTCTGGGTGGGTCAGCAGGCCTCAATCACCACATGCTGAGCGCTGAACGGGCAGGTGGGTGCACCCCTCCCCCAGCAGCTACCCCACGGTTGGTTTCCTGTTGCCCCACTGCGACTTCTCAGGGCGTGGAGAGCAGGGCAGCTGGGATTCCGGCAGCTTGCTGTGAGCCGCTGGGGTGCGGGTGGCTGGCACGGCTGCCAAGCGCTGCCCAGGGCCGCCATGGCTTGAGGGGTAGCAGAGGCACCATCCTGGGGAGGAAAGCACGGCCTCCTGCCCTTGGCTGCCGGGCTGGGCAGCAGCGCGGCAGCAGCGGGGCTGCGTCTTGTGGCTGCCTCCGAGGGGGAGAGCAGCAAGGGCATTTGGGGGCATTTTGACACCCCTGACCCTTGGTGCATGCAGCGGCTCCTGCCCCACCGTGACCCACATTTGATGGCATGAGGGGGACAGCCAGGGCCGCTCCCTGAGCCTGGACATTCGTGGGCCTTTTCATGATGCCACCTCCGCCTCCAGGGCTTCTCTTGCTCGGGCTCCTGCTCAAATCCTGGGCTCCTGGCTGCCGGGCTCGACCACCTGTGGCTTCGTGGGCGGGGCAGGGGTCTCAGCCCCAGAGCAGAGAGAAGCCTCCGTGGCCGCTCACTGGCCTTTGGGGGCCTCTCCGGCCGGGGACCCCTCCACCCTGGGCCTGGGGAACGGCTTCCCGTGAGACGGCCCCGCAGAGGAGGGCGCTCCAGAGCCCGGTGCCGCAGCCGCAGGAGGGGAAGCGGCTTCCCTCCTGGGCGCCTCCTTTTGCCCGAGAACTGGGAGGCCCCTGGCCGCACAGCCCCCGTGGCCCCCTCCCCACAAGCCCTGCTCGCCCCCCCCACCTGGACGCCTGCCAGGTGGCCTCCTGCTCCCTGCGAGAATGGGCCGCGGCCGCGCAGAGATCCTGCAGTGGAACGGCCGGCCTCAAGTGAGGATAAACACGCCTCGTGGAAGGAAGGGGACGCACCCCAGAGGAGGAGCAGGAAGTGGGGGGGGCACTCGGAGAAGCCCCTGCAAGAAACCGGGTGCAATTATTTGGAGATGAGATTATCTCCCTCCCTGCCCCACAAGCTGGGTGCTGAGATCTCTTCCCTCCACCGAGGGACTGGTTCTCCTCCCATTATTCTGTAGCCTGGGGTGAGAAAATTGTCCTGGGGAGTCACCACAGCTTTTCGCTCGAGCATCGGGGGGGGGGGGGGGCGCTGACTCAGATCAGGGACGTGTCTGGGTTGGCCCCATCTGTGCTGCCCGTTGACTGGTGTTTGGGGGCAGCGCTTTTCCTGCCGGTGAGAAAAGAGGCACAGGACCAGAGGCCAGGCTGAGGCCGAAGGGCGGGGGCCGTTGCGCGGGGGGCTTGTCTCCCAACCTGCTGCTCCTGCCCTGATGGGGGCAAAGGAAATGCTGCTGCGCTTGGTTTAAACGGAGAGCCGGCACAAGGCTTGCTTTATGCTCAGGCCTGCAGGTATACCTGCCCCAAAAGGAGTTCCAGAGAGGTGCTGAACTACAAAGCCTATACTCTCCAGCCAGCTAGACTAAACTGTTATGAAGGATTATGGGACCTGCAATACAAAGATACCTGGAGGGCAGCTGTTGGAGCAGGAGGACCTCCCGTGTCTCTTGGGAAGGCAGTTTAAGTGCTGGACTGTTTGGAGGCAGATTGGAATGAGTAAGGACTTGCAGGCTGAAAGGTAGCCTGGAATTTGGGTAATGCCCAATGGCCCCCTCTTTTTGGGAGGAGGCAATGACAGGGATAACCTTTGCAAAGGAAAGCTCTTTAATGTTTATGGATCTGCACTTTCTTCTTAATGATCTACCTGCTTCTTGGAACTGAAGAGAAGGTCAGTGGAAGCGGGTTCCCGGTGCCTGAGAGCAAAAGGCTCATGGCAAACATCCACCTTTGAGCAAACAATGCCCCGGGGGTGTAAGGTCTTGAGTGGGAGGCCTGCTGGGCATCTGCGGACCTGTGGCCTGCCTTTGCTGGGGTCTGTGCAAAACCACGTCCAGGCCTGAAGCGCCCAAAACGTGAGTAAGAGGACACATCGCACAGGGATCCACTGCGATGAATACCTTCAGACCTTCTGCTGCACTGTAATGTTCTATTTTATGTTGGGGTTTTTAGTTTGATGATTAAAATTCACAGTAGAAGAAATCAGTACCAGAGCTTTTGCTGGTGGGTTTTGGGGGTGGCAGCTGTCTCAGTGGCGGCCTGGCACCTCTGAAGCCCCCTCCCCAGGGGTTATGGGCAGCCTCACCATTGCTGGCTCAGGGACCGCCCCTAAAGTACATCTATTTCCACCAGCTTTTGGTGTTTGGAAATCACGAGTTGCTGTGGCCACTGTGTGTGTTTTGATGGCACTTTTCTGGGTTTGTGTTTTTGGGCAGTTGTCAGCTGCCTCAGGTGTGCCGCATGCCCTGAAAGGCAGGTTAGCACTTATTCCAGTCAACACGCAAGCAATTAAAGCCATTTCCATCTGTGCAACAGGCTGTCCGTGGTCTCTGCCCCCACTTCTCCACGCAGGCGGTTTTGGGGGAGCTGTTGCACATGGGGCTCCCCAGCTGTGATCTGAACCAGTACGCTCTCCCTCTCTCATTGCAGATCGGTGCCTCTCTGTTTGCCAGTAATATTGGCAGCGGCCACTTTGTGGGACTGGCTGGCACGGGGGCAGCCGCCGGAATCGCCATCGGGGGCTTCGAGTGGAATGTAAGTGCCGTGCCTGCGGCTTCTGGCCCAAAGTGACAGCCGGGGGAGGGTGCTCTGCCTGTCCCTCGCCAGCCGTCTGCCCCCACGGCTCTCCTGGGGAACGCCTCCTTGGAGACCGGGGCGGGGGCATGTCCAAGCCCCGGCTGCTTCCCCCGCGGGCCGCCACAGCCTGTGTCAGCACTGGCCAGCCGGCTGGGGACAGCTGGGGCCGCTCTGCAGGTTCGCTGGCTCAAGCCCCGGTCGGTCGCTGCTGGCAGGGAGGGGGCGCAGTGTCCCGACGGATGCGCCGCCTCAGGAGGAAAGGCGACGGTCTGGGTCTGCCTTCCTTTGCTCACAGGCCCTGGTGCTGGTGGTGGTTCTCGGCTGGATGTTCGTGCCCATCTACATCAAAGCCGGGGTAAGTACGAGAGCGGCTTCCTCGGGCCCGGCCGGTGCCTCTTGTGCCACATGTCCTCTGCGTGGGCGGTGGTCGCGCTGGCTGCCGCCACCCCCGAGCCTGTGGACGCTCACCGAGGAGCTGCGCGGCGAGGCAGGTGGCTGCCTGGGGGCCCTTTTCTGGCCACTCCATGTCGGCGGCCCACCCGCCTCTCTGCGGATGGGCAGACGCTCCAGCGTCGCTGGGGAAAAGTGGGGAGGAGGGCGATTTGCTCGAAGGCTCCCCTAGATTTCAGGACCGGGGCCTCTGAAGGGTCGCCATGGTGGGTGCCCATGGCAAGCCGTGCCTGGTGGGCTCATCCACGAGTCCCCGGTAAGGCCCTCGTGCCCCCGGCTCCAGCCCCCCACCCGCACGCGGAGGGTTCCTGCCCCTTCCGGGTGCCGCCTCCCCCGAGCAGCCTTTTGGCGTTGCTCTCCCAGCAGCACGCGCACCCTCTCCCTCCGCAGGTGGTGACCATGCCAGAGTACCTCCGGAAGCGGTTTGGCGGGAAGAGGATTCAGGTCTACCTCTCAGTCCTGTCCCTGTGCCTTTACATCTTCACCAAGATCTCGGTGAGTTGAGCAGCTTGCCCGAGCCTCCTCTTGCGTGTGCGGCATGGCGAGAGGGTGAGGGAGGAGCGGCCTGGATCTCCCCCGCCCCCCACCTGCCTCGCTATAGGCTCCTGCCCCACTGCTGCTCTGGGAAAGGCTTTCTGAGGCAGAGGGTTCAATCCAACACCACCTCTGCCCGCTGCACGGCTCCTTGCAAATACTCAGAGACTACGAGGTCAGCTGGGCTTCCCTCTGGCGCTATTCAGAGGTGGTGGCCCTTCTGGAAGAGGCTGGGCCCTTTTTTCAGCTAGCCCAAGGCATTTTGGCTCCTGAGCTGTAGATACCAAATGGCGTGCCCTCTCCCACCAAAAAGGGGGACCTCTATTTGGCAGAAACCACTTTCTGGCATAACCTGTGAACTGGCAAATGCAGATCACAGGGCCGTTCGGATGGGGAACTGGTGTCCTGCACCAGCAGGGCGCTGGACCCGACGGCCTTCTTGGCTCCTTCCAACTCGGCTCTTCTGTCATTCTGAGCCATTTGCCACTTTTCGCGCAGCGGCGTGGAGGGTGCTCCCCACACCTGCCTCCCTGCTGGGCGCCCCCTCCCTTGCGGCATGGCGGCATCCCCCACCTTACCGGAACTCCCAGGCCTTTGCTGTGCTGGGAGCCAAGGTGGGGTGGGGGCCTGGACGCAGTGGCGGTGGCGAGCCGCCGCTTGGGGGCTCAGTCAAGGGGCTCCTCCCGCCTGGCCGGCGCTGTGGGGGGCAGCTGCGGGGGGCATCGCCCAGCCTTTGCACAGCCCCTGGGCTTTGCGGGCCTGGCGAGGTGCTTTCCTTCGGTTGCCACGGGAGGCTACTCTTTGCCCTCATGTGCAGCAGTGGAGAGATAATTGTACAAATTAACTTAAAGGGCCTGGCCTTTTGCCCTCTCCTCCCCCGCCCTGCAATAACCCAGCTCCATCAGGGTTACTGATTAAGCACTGACTGGGGCGCCTGGACCCCTCCTGCTCCCCACAGGCCGCTCCCTCCCGCTTTGGCAGCACCAGCCGCTGGATCATGTCTGCCGAGCCTGGCAGGAGGGGCAGGGCTTTCGTGCGGGCCATAAAACAACCCTTGATGAGCAATCGGACGTAATGTGCTGTGGGGAGAAGAGCCCGGGGGCGGGGGCAGCCGCCCGGAAGTGCTGCCCTGTGTGGCTGGGCAAGGCCACTTCCGAGCAAGACGTCTTTGGCCCGTTCCTCGCTGCATCCACAGAGGCACTTTCTGTCTCTGAACCAGTTTGCGGCTGCCTTCCAAGCCACGTGCATCCAGACAAGAGCAGCTGCTGAGCCTGCCTTCACCGCAGAAAGCGGTTCGGGGGGAAGCGGGAGCAGCTGCTCGGGGCCTCTGGCTTGGCAGTACCAGGAACCCCCTTCAGGCCAGCACCTGGTGCAGAAGGGTGGCCAGAGAGGGCTGCCTGGTGGCTGGAGCAGAGGAGGGGGGGGGGCTGCCCGGGCTCATTTCCTGCTGGAGCCCCTCCAGGCCTTTGTGCACCCCTTTCACTTCGCCCTGGCAGTGCAGGGGGTGGCTGACCTCCGCCTGGGCAGCCGGTGCTTGCAGCCCCGTGCTCGAATCCAGGGCACTCCCGTGGCACGTGGCCGCTCCTGCTGGCCGTGAGAGCAGCCCGCTCCATGGCTGACCACCAGGCGAGGGCCCTCTTTGGCACACTGCCCAGGGCGCCGGGGGAGAGGACACCCGCACCACGGATTCTGCTGGGGAGCGCTCTTGCGGGCTCTCCCTTGCTCTCTGGGGTCCCCAGGGGACTGCTCCTGCCCCCCCTTCCTCCCTCTCTGCACACGGCCCCCCCTCGAATGCCACTTGCAGCTTCTCTGCCCAAGATCTGGCCCCTTTGCAAAGGCCAGCCTGCCTTTTTTGTCTTGACTCCCCCCCCCGTTCCTTCTGTCCCTCCTCTTCCTCCATGGTCCCTGCACGCACGGCTGCCAAGGAGCTCTCCTTGCCTTTCTTTTCACTTAGCCTCTCCCACAGTATTGTGCTGAAGCTGCAGGGCATGTACTCCCGAGGATGAAACAGCCTATGGCTCAGGAGTTAACAATACACGAAATCCAACTTTATTTGCACAATAAGCGCGCGGGTTTCAAGATATTCTGCAACGTATCTCCTCACTGGATAAAACAGGGTACCTTAATCACTTCTGACTGAGGCATCGCACTCTTCCCCTTCACAGGCACGCCTCACTCGCAAATCCCCCCCTCTTCTGAATGCACTTTGACCAGTCCTTATGCGATTTATCTCAGCATACTCCTTCCCTTCTGCACTTTGCCAGCTTCTCTCGCGCGCCCTTATAACACTTGACAATCGCAAGCTTGGCTCCCACGGTTGCCGACTTGTCGTCAAGCGTCAGCTTCTCCCCTTTCCCTTGCCTTCCGCAGCGCTGCGCTGCGCTGCGCTGCCCTGCCCTGCCTGGGACGCTAAAGGGACGGCCGCCCCCCGGGACCCCGGCCTGCCTCCGTCCCCTCGCCCGCGGGCGCCCGTGCGGCCGGGCCGCCGTTCTGGCTTGAGCTTCGGCCCGCGGCTGCCGAGCTGCTCCGCCTCCTTCCGCTGCTTTCTTTGCAGCCGGGAGCTGCCCTGCCGAGCGCCGGGACTCCCTTCCACGGCGCGGAGGAGGCGCTGCCGGGCAGGAGGCCGCCTGGGAGGGCGGCCCGCGGCGCGCGGGACGCCGGCCTTCCCGCCAAACCTCGGAGGCGCGCTCGCGGGCCAGCCGGCGCCTCCCCGCTGGGGCCGACCGCCTTCCCCGCCAGCTGCTGAGAGCGCCCATTCTTTTTCCCGGCTTTAGGCAGATATATTTTCTGGAGCCATTTTTATCCAGCTTGCCATGGGGCTGAATATTTACGTGGCTATAATCCTGTTGCTTGTCATCACGGCGCTTTACACCATCACAGGTGAGCGCCCGGCTTCCGCGGACAGGCCTTCCCCCGCGTGCCTGCGCCGAACTCCGGGAAGCGCGGCCGGTTCCAGCGCGCCCCCCCCGCCCGCGCGGGGCAGCCCCGGAGTGGCGGGGGCGTCCTCCGAGCAAGAACGGGCTGTGGGGCGGTTGGGAGCGGCTCCCCCCCCCGGAAGCAGGCCGGGGCTCACGCCGCCGCGTTGCTTTTCCGCCCTCTGCCCCCCAGGAGGACTTGCGGCCGTCATCTACACCGACACCTTGCAGACCTTCATCATGCTGCTGGGATCGATCATTCTGGCCGTATTCGGTACGTGCTGGCCCCAGGGAAGCGGTGGGCGGCTGCCTGCTGGCCCAGCGCCCCGGCCGTCTCCTCCCCGCGGAGCTGCCTTAGGCCGGGCGCGGTCTGCCCGGGAGCCCCGTGCCGGGTGCCCCCAACAGGGAGGCCGGGCCCCTCCACCGCGCCCAGCGGCAGGCACAGGCCGGGCTTTGCCATGCGTGGGGCCTGGCCCGTGGCCTCACCTTGTTCACGCTCCGCGCGAGAGGCCTGTCAGGCAGGGCACAGGATTCGGCGCTGCGAGTCCCAGGCGGAGGCAGAGGGAGGGTGGCTGGGTGCCCCTCGGCGAGAGGAGGGGGAGTGCCCAGGGCAAGCCCCACTGAATGAGATGCATCCTGTCCCCGCTGCCCTGCGATAAGGATTATTTCCGGGATGCACACAGCAGGACCAGCCAGGCCGCAACACCGCAAGCTTGCACCTGTGGCCTGCTCACGAGGCCTGGAAGAGTCCTCCTCTTGTTAACGCTAAGGTTCTATGGATGCCGGATCCGCAGCTGTGCTCCTTCACGGAGGCAACGCAGGCACAGCTCCGTTATGTGGACGGGCCACGTGGGTGCCTGGGCGCAGCTTCCAAACCGTTCTGGGTGCACCTGCACGTTGGGCTTGCAGCGCTAATGGGGGGGTGCCGAGGCTTCACCCCGCAGAGCCCCATGGCCTTCCCCTGACTGGCTGTGTCGCTTTCCCCAGCGTTCAAGGAAGTAGGGGGATACGAAGAGCTGATGGACAAATACATGAAAGCGATCCCGTCGCTCGTCTCCAATGGAAGTGTGGCCGTCCCCGAGCAGTGCTACAGCCCCCGCCCGGACGCCTTCCAGATTTTCCGCGATCCCATCAGCGGCGACCTGCCCTGGCCGGGCCTCATCTTCGGCTTGACCATCCTGGCCTTGTGGTACTGGTGCACGGACCAGGTAGCACATCCGTGGCCTCCCAAGCGCTGCCCGCGGTGGTGCGGGGCAATCTGGTCCCAGTCCCCGGCACACCGCCTGCTCGCCAGCGTCCTCCCTGCCGCACCGCCCTGCCGCCTTCCCCAAGCTGCTGCACTCCGGCTGAGCTGGACCGCAGTTCCCAGCAGCCAGCAGCTCCGGGGACTGCAGCTTGGAGGGGACTACACTCTGGAATGCTGGCACCCAGGGGCAGTGGTCCCACAACCCGGCTTCAGAAGCTGGTGATGCCCGGGGTGCTGGATGCAGGAGGCCCCCCTGCTCCCGCTGCGGTCTGACTGGCTGACGGCCTGCCAGTGCCCCAGCCGCAGAGGTCACTCCAGGGTGCCAAGCCCGCCTGCACCACGGGTGAAGTGCCACGCTATGCGCAGGCCCCCCGCAGCACAGGGGTTTGTGATGACCCAAGAAGTGGGCCGTGCTGCGCACGGTGGGGAAGGGACTCTCCTCAGAGCAGCCAACTGACCCATCTCCCAAGGATGTTTCCGGAGGGGGCCGAGCAGGCGGTGCTTCCCAGCCCCACCTGTTGGGTCAGCTGCCGCGCCTCGCCTCGCCTCGCCTCGCCTCGCCTCGCCTCGCCTCGCCTCGCCTCGCTGTGTTGGGCCGGGCCGGGCCGGGCCGGGCCCCCTTTCCAGGGCGCCTCACTCTGGGCCTCACCGCTGCTTCTGCGCAGGTCATCGTGCAGCGCTGCCTCTCGGGGAAGAACATGTCGCACGTCAAGGCCGGCTGCATCTTGTGCGGCTACCTGAAGCTGCTGCCCATGTTCCTGATGGTGATGCCGGGCATGATCAGCCGGGTCCTGTACACAGGTGGGCCCTGGCCGGCTCCCACCTGCGGGGGGAGGCACTGCGCGTTCCCTGGCCCGGCCCACGTGGGCCTGGCTCCCGGCCCAGGTGCGCCGTCTCGGCGAGGCTGTGTGGGCCGTGGCTGAGCTCTTCTCGCCCTCAGACGACGTCGCCTGCGTTCTGCCCGAGGAGTGCATGCGAGCGTGCGGGACGCCCGTGGGCTGCTCCAACATCGCCTACCCAACGCTGGTGGTGAGGCTCATGCCGGACGGTGAGGCTCCGGCCGGGCCGGTGGCAGGAGTGGCGGCCTGGGGCGGGAGGAGAGACCGAGGAGCAAAGCACCCTCCGGGGCAGTGGGGCGGAGGGACATTGGCTGCTGGGTGAGGCCTGGCCTGGCCAGTGGCGTTTGCATTGCTGGGGACTAAGTCCCCCCGCAGTCCAGACAACTCAGTGCTTTCGCCGAGAGCGGAAAAGGCGAGGAGCCTCTTGGCGGGCAAGGGCAGCCTCCCTTCGCGTCTCTCTGCAGTTTCAGTCTGAAATGTAATCCGGGAGCTGGTGCCCAGTGGTGCTCGCTGTCTCGCAGTCTGTTTGCCCCGGGCTCTGGGGCTGGACCACCGAGGTGGGCAGGGGGAGGCTGCAGGGCCACGGGGGGGGAGGTATCCCTGCAGCTGCCGTCTCGCCTCGTGTGCAAAGGCCGTGCTGAGCAGCGGCTGGTGGGGATTCCGGGGAGTGGGCACCGCACTCCGCGCTCCAGCAGCCCTGCCCTTGGAGGGGCCCGTCTTCTCTGCCGCCCTTCCTGCCTGTGAGGGTGGGTTGGAAGACCCCTGGGGCCCTTCTGCGAGGCGTGCGACCAGTCCTGTGGCCGGCACATGGTGCAGGGAGCCGAACCGGCGCACCTTTAGAGGGGTGGAAGGAGCAGCCGGCTGAGGGCAACGGCTGTGGTTGTTTCGGCGTCCCTGGAGCCACAGCTGGGCATGGGGTGGCCCCACCGGATGCTGAGCAGTGCAGCGGCCTGGGCCAAGCCCACTGGGAGGCCCCTGGGGGAGGGTTGCCATGCCCCCCTGCCTGCTGGGGGGCTTCCTAGTGGGGTCTTTGCTGGGCTGCTGCATGGGCACCGGGCGGCCCCGGGCTCCATCCAGCCTCAGGCCTTCCCTGGCTGTGACAGCGGCCAGCCCCCGCAGTGCAGAGGGCCCGCACTCCCCGGCCCGCGGGGCTCACAGCTGCCTCGTGTCTCCCTCGCCTGCGTTCCAGGGCTGCGAGGTCTGATGCTCTCGGTGATGCTGGCCTCCCTGATGAGCTCGCTCACCTCCATCTTCAATAGTGCCAGCACCCTCTTCACGATGGACATCTACACCAAGATCCGCACGAAAGCGAAGGAACGGGAGCTCATGATCATTGGCAGGTACCACTCAGGCAGCCACCGGGCTCCCGGCCGCTCGAGGGCCTCCCGCCTCCCGCCTGCCCGTCCTGCCGCGGCTTTGCCGGCTTTCCCTGTGGCGTGCCGTGCCCCGCATCACGCACCTTGGATGCCCCCTGCACGCAGGCCGCCGGCTCCCGCCTCACCGGCAGCCCCTGCTGGGACTTGCCTGCCCCCCTCGCCGCCCCTGCCCTTCCTTTTGCCCCTGCTGCAGTGCCAGCTCTCTGGAGAGCCCCGGCTGGGAGAAGGGGCTGCTCTGGCGCCCCCCGGAGGATGCTCAGCCTGCCCCCGGATGCTTGCCCTTCTGCGCTGGCGCCTCTCCTGCTGCGTGCCCTCAGCCCAAGAGCCCCCGCGTGGCGCCAGGAGCCCCACTTGCTGCTGCCTGCCCCACGGCCCAAGGCGGGGCCAGTGGGACTCTGCTGGGGGCAGTGGTCTTTCCTGCAGGGGCAGCAGGCAGGACAAGTATGGTTTGATGCCCCCCGTTTCATTGCGGGGGGGGACCGTTGGCCCATGGGCAGGGTGGGCCTGCAGCTTCCTTCAGCGGTGGCCAGCAGGGCCATGGTGAAGGATCGTGGGAGCTGCAGACCAAAATTGCGGAGGGCCCTGGTTGCTCTCCTCTCCATGGCTGGGGTCCCCTGAAAAGTGGTGCAAATGCCAGATTTGGGGCTTGCCCCTCGTGTCCAGCAGGCGGGCTCTCCCACCGCCTTGGGCCGCCCACTTTCCCTCCCGCCGCTCCCTTGGGCGGGCCAGCTGCCCCTTTCTTCCCCACATGGGAGCTGCGGCGCTACAGCGCCCCCTGCCGGGCCCTTGGACAATTGCACGTGCATCTTGTCCAGATGCCAACATCTGCCACCTGCCCAGTCACTCTCTGCACTTATCCCCTTTTGAAAAGTAATACCCTCTCTCCGTGCGTGGCTCCTGGCCACACACGACGGCTGTGCCAGCGAGCTGACCACACTGTTGGCGAAAGCAGGGGGTTGTCCATGCATTTCTGCATCAGGGACGTGATTTGAACGGATGCAGGTGGTAGGTCTGCGCAGTCCGCTTGCCCTGTGGTCACTGCCCCCTGCCCCGTTCGAGGAGGCGGCGAACCAGCGGGCCCTGGCGCGGCCTCGGTGGGATTCCTGCACACCGGCACGGAAAGGAGCCGCGGCGAGCACTGTCCTGCTCACGCTTTGGTCCTGTCTGCAGGCTCTTCATGCTGGTTCTCATTGGTGTCAGTATTGCCTGGGTTCCTATAGTGCAGTCAGCCCAAAGTGGGCAGCTTTTTGACTACATCCAGTCCATCACCAGCTATCTCGGCCCGCCCATCGCAGCCGTCTTTTTCCTTGCCATTTTCTGCAAGCGGGTCAATGAACAAGTAAGTCTGGTGTGGTGCAGGTAGCCCCTCTCCGCCACCTGGGCCTGAGCAGACCGGCTCTCACGTCGGGGAGGGAGAGGCCAGGTGGGCCCCAGCAGAAGGGGGTGCCCACCTGGGGTGCACGGACGGGAACATTGCTGGAGGAGGCGGCTGCAGCTCAGAAGGGCCGTGCGCTGCCAGGCCGCCTGCCCATGGGCTGCCACCGGGGGGGTGGCTGAGGCAGGGCTCGAGCACGGTGCGCGTCCCAGCCCTTTCCACACGAGCGCTGGGGAAGCCAGTTCCTCCGGCAGCTGCTGGGAGCCCTCCCCGGGCTCCGCGGGCGCTCGGGCGGCCCCCTCCTGCAGCCGGGAGCTGAGTGAAGGGCGAGGCAGGTCAGCGGAGGGGCTGGCGGGGCGGTGTGTCAGCTGCCTGCCCGGGAGCCTCTCTGCACCATCCCGCCCTGGCCAGGGGTGCCGCCCAGCGGGGGGTGGGCCTGAGGAAGAGTGCCGCAAGGGGGAGTGTGGCCGGAGGGGAGGACTGGGCCGCAGCCCTCCTTGAGCCTGTTCCCCTGGGCCTCTGGCGTGGCTGCTGCTCAGAGCAGCTGGGGTGCTTTGCTCCCTGAAGGGCTTTCTCTAGAATATCCCCCTCCCCACAAACACACAGCCTGCACAGAGAGGGCCGCTTTGGCAGTGGCCAGGGAGCAGAAGCCTCCAGCCCCCCGCACTCGGCAGCCGAACGGGAGAGAGCCCCTGGGCGCGCAGGTGGGGCAAACGTTGTGCGGTGCTGAGCTCTCCATGCAGAGGCGAGTGGCAGGCCAGTGGACCACACGTCCAGGGCAAAAGGCGTGCGAGCTTTGCTTCGCGGCTTCCCGTGGGTCCTCAGTCGATGCAGCAGTGTCTGCAGGCAAGTCCCCCCTTTCGACAGGAGGATCCATGAGCACAGCACCCTTGGGCATCCGGCCAGGCATCTGCTCCCAGGCCCTGTGAGGCATTAGACGTTAAAAGCAGCGGCGTGACTTGGGCACAGGTGCCCAGGAAGTCACTGCAAGCAGGACAGAAGGGTGTGCGTGCGTCTTTGGCTCGGCTGGGGAATGTGGCTGCTGCAGTTTGCACTGGCTGAAGCTTCTGAACAGCCTCCCAGGGCAGCCCCACAGAGCAGGGCAGTAGTTCAACATGGAAGCTGCCAGCCTGTAGGTTACTGAAGCCAGGCTATCCCCACCGAGGTTTGGGTGCAGCTGGACCGCCAGGAGAAGCTGTTCCAAGGCACGGGGGCCACCTGAGCCTCAAGTGGCAAGATGGCCCCAAGCCCCGAACCTGCTCTTGTAGTGGGAGTGCAGCCCTGCCCAGAGGAGCGTGGCCCCCTTGCATCCGGTCCAGAGAGCTTCTGCTTGGGGCTCATTTGATTCGCCCTCATCCAGCCTGTTGCTGCAGTCAGACACTTCCACAGCCTCGTTGAATGGGGATGAAAGGGGAAATAGAGCTGTGTGTCATCAGCATAACGACACATTCCGAGTCCCCTCAGTGGTCTCAGGTAGATGTTATCAGCATGGAGGGCACAACGGACCCCTGCGGACGCCGTGCTGCGGAATCCAGGGGGCCGAGCGACATTCCGCAAGCTCCATCTTGTGGGGCTGGCCATCCAAGTAGGAGCAGGCCCAGTGCAAGCCCAGCCCAGAAGGAGACTGGTCGACGGTACTGAAGCTGCTGCAGGAACATCAGTCGTGCCGCACTCTCCCCGCCTCTCCCCGACCAGAGCGGCTCCTGTGTCAAGACCAGGCCTGAGGCTGCCTGAAATGGATCCCAGTAACCAGTGTCATCTGAGAGTGGCTGGAGCTGTTGGCCTCCACCCACTTGAGAACCTGGCCCAGGAAGGGGATGTTTTCCCCCAGCCTAAGGATCTTCCAGGATCAGGAGAAAGATGGCCCACGTCACCCCCGTGCTCATGTCGATAACTGCATGAAGTTCCCTGGTGGTCACAGCTGGGGGGGGCTAACTCCTTCCAGTTCCCCCACTCCAGTTCCACTCGTGCATGTGAGGTTGGCCTCCTCATCCCTGCTAAGTCTCAAATGCCAGCAGCCCCTGCCCCTCTGCTCAAGAGCACACCCTGTTCATATCCAAACTGGCCTGCAGGTGGTTCTGTTTCCGCTTCTTCTCGGTACTTGCACTCTTTACTGTGCTTCTCCCTCCCGGCGGAAGTCAGGTCAAAGCCCTCCAGATACATTTCTCCTGCTGTGGCCAAGCCCCTTCTCGCCGGTCCTTGCACGGTGCAACCCATCCCTCGCCAGCAGTCCGTCTTCCCGGAAGTGCAGCCCGTGGTCCCAGAGTCCACCAGCAGCTTCACAGCCAGGCATTCACCTGCAGTATTTTTCTTTCCCTGCCCTTTCCACTTCTTCAGACTGGAAGGGTTGAAGAGAAGACTATCTGGGCCCCAAGGTTCTTGACTTTCCTCCCTCAAGCTTCGAAGTCTGATGCGGTTTCCTCAGAGCTCCGCTGACAGTGTCATTTTCCCCCGCATGTATAAAAAGGAAGGGATACGTGTCAGTGGGCTGTATGAGCCTTGGCAATCTTTCAATTGTATTACTAAGCTGTCCTCCGGGGGAAAGCATACCTGACAGGACCATGGATCTTCACGACAAACATGCTTCCATCTCATGCATGCTTCCATCTCATGTTCTTGCAAGCCTTGGCATCGTTGCCACCACTCGGCTGACCTTCAGCCCCTTGTTCGGTGCTGCACGGGGCGACTTGCAGTTCTTCCACTGCAGGCTGCCCTCCAGTCTCATCCCTGAGTAACTGAAAGTGGTTCCATAGTTCCACTAGTCCAGTGTCTTTTAATTCTTCCAGTTCTTCTGCACCTGTCATCCTTTTCCAGGGAGTTTCCTTCTCATTTCCCTTTTCTTCACGTTCCTCATTCTCAGCGTTCAGTTGCACTTCTAGCTTCTGTACTACTCTTTGCTGTTCCAATTCCACTACTCTCTCCAGCCAGGGGTCAGACTAGATGGCCCGGGAGGTCCCTTCTGACTCGCTCTGTTTCTAAAATTCTTAACCTTTTATTGCCTTGAGGATGGAAACTCGCTGCTCTAATGCTGTCACCTTTTCCTGCACTTGTTGCATGTGTGGGCCATGTTGACCGCTGGCAAGAAAACAAACATTGCCCAGGCATTGCAGGCCGCCACCACGGCGGAGCCTTCTCGGTCCGTTCTTTCTGCTGCCTTTTTGATTCTAACTTGCTGGGTCTCTTGTAGCAACCCGTGCTCTCCCTGGCTTCCTGGAAAGTTAACAACAGAGTCCTACCATTAAACGCGAGTGTGTTACAAGGAAGATTACGAAGTAGGGAGAAATTCAGGGGGAAAAAGAGGTAAAATGAAAAATGTGAACAGGCTTTTAAAAAGTTGGGGAAAAAGTTAGGGACCTCCCGCTTGACCCTCCCTGCCGAACTTCGCCGCCGTACTTGTGCTTGCTCTCCCTGGCCACTTGCTCCCCGGGAGCCTGGCTGCTGGTGTCCCGGAGGCCCTGGAGCAGCTGCGGCAGCTTCCCCTGGGGTGCTCAGCCAGGAGCCCTGGACCAGAACGCTTTCTCTTCCATGGAAACCGGCGCCTTCTGCTGCACTCGCCTCCCACCTTAAACCTCGCATTCCCGATTCTGCGGCTGCCTCCTCCCTCTTCCTGGAGTGCTCCTGTCTTGCCCCAGCTGAAGGGCAGGGAGGGACCCAAGCAGGACGGCTCGCATGGCGCACGCCCCACAGCTCACGGGAGCCCCTCCCTCCACTTGAGCAGAGCAAGGTGTGCCGGGTGACCCCCTTTCCTGCAGACTTGGTGCTGGGGGTGGGATTTGCCCAAGGAGGTGAAGGGTGGTGAGTCGCGGAGTCCCTGGCCCCTCTTCCACCGGGGTTGTCCTGTCCGCTCCTGAGCTGCAGTCCCTGCAGCACCCTGCCAATTCCACCTCAGCCTGGGGATCTTGTGCACTGGGGGCCAGTTCAGTTCAAAAGGAATCGCTTGTTGCTCAGGTTTTAAGCCTGGGGGAGGCTTGGATGTATGAATGGGATGTGCAGAGCTCCGCCGAGGGTGGCGGAGGGAAGGGCGCCTTCCCAGTTCCATGTTGAGGCGACCTTGCCAAGGGGCAGTTTGTGGCTTTGTGGCAGCAGCGGCTCTGCCATGCCTGTGGCTCGGGGCCTGTCCCGTGCTCGACCCCGAGGGCCTCAGTTGGTCAAAATGGTGATGGAGCCAGCCCGGAAGGCAGCTCTCTGAGAAGGCCCTTCTGGCAAACATTGGGCTGATGCGCCACAGCAAGAGTGGCCAGTGCCGGGAAGCCAAGCCGAACTCCTGGTGGGGATGGTCTGGCCAGCACTTCGGCCGCGGCCCCACTCACTGGCCTCGGTGGGAAGAAGGGGCGCCACAAAGGGCCTTCAGCGGCCTCTTCCACTTTGCCAAATTAAGGTGACTCCTTGTCTGGCAGGGGTTGGGGCAAAAAGGGTCCGCCCCGCCTAGAATATGGCCGTCAAAGATCTTGGGATCATCATGGAAGAAGAGGAGGAGGGGGTGGAGCCCAGTGCTGAGTTGCCAGGGCTAGTGGGCCTGCGATGAGTCGGGCTGTGGCTGAGAATCAGGCGGGTTCCCCTGGTGGGTCAGTCTAGCGAGCAAGTGGGGGGACTGTGGGGCAGGCTTCACATCTTTAGTCCAGCCTGGTGGCACTGGGAAGAGAGTCGTGGCAGTTGTTACCAGGGATGGCACAAGCAGCGTGGTCCCTCCTGAAGGGGAGGGGTGTTCAGTCCTGGATCAGTTGAGCTGTTTGTACCGATGGCTGGCAAAGTGTTCTAGCTTTGTTACTGACTTCTGCAATACTGTTCCATTGCTATACAAAGCCAGCCTGGCTTTAGTGTAATAAAGGCTGGGTTTTAGGTTTTAGTTTAGTTTTAGTTCCATTTAGTATTGCATCAGAAAGCCTTTGTCCTGATCTCCTTGGAAGGCTGGGGAGGAGAGCCGCTTCCGTGCAAAGGCAGGGCCACGAGGCGGAGCGCTGGGAGTGGGGCACTCCCAAGTGCTGTCCAGCGGCACTTGCCGGCGTGAGTCGGGGCTGCACCAGCCAGATCCATGGAGAAAGACCGCTGCTGCCTTTCTGCAACATGCATCAAGGATGAAATGACTCGCATGCGTGGGATCGGGGCTCCTGGCGATACTCGGCTCTTTTCTTACCCAGAAGGCCATTTTCAGTGCTTTTCCTGCAATTCCTCCTGCCTCTAAACCAGGGGTCTCAAACTTGTGGCCCGCGGGCCAATTGCCAGGCCGGCGGGGCACGGGGGAGGGGCCCTGCAGCCTTCAAAGTGCCGATGGCACCTGGGCCGGCCGTGGGATGAGTGGCCCACCACCACCGCGGTGGTGGAATACTTGATGCGGCCCAGCCTCACTCAGACTCTACTTCCAGCGGCCCCCAGGTAAGTTGAGTTTGAGACCCCTGCTCTAAACCTTTATGAGAAGCTGCTGGGGGTGCTCATCATGGGGATCTGTTCCCTCTGGGAGGAGCCAGGTGCCCCAAAGGGAAACCCACAGGGCACACACTGGCACCGCTCCCCTGCTGCCAGCGGTGGCGCTCGGAGGCAGGAGTCGGTCACCTCTGCCCTGGAGGGGCCGCGTGGCTGTCGTGGCAGGTAGCGTGTTAAGAGGGCCCAGGTTTTGCAGCACGTGTGTGAGCCAGGAAGGGGTTTTGCGCTGAAGCAGCTCCGGGAAGGTACTTTGGACACCCCAGGGGAGAGTGACCTCTCCCCTTTGCATGCAGGCTGTGCGTGCAGGATGCTTGCCATTCCCTGTGGGACGAGCTCTCATGCACTGGCTGAACTGAGCAAGCCCTGGAGAAGGCGCCCGAGCTGCCGCGGAAGAAGCACTGGGCAGCCGGATGCCTGAGCGCGCTGTGCTTCCTCCACAGGGGGCCTTCTGGGGCCTGGTTGTCGGGCTGGCGGTTGGGCTCTCCCGGATGATAACGGAGTTCGCCTATGGGACGGGCAGCTGTGTGAAGCCCAGCAACTGCCCGGATATCATCTGCAAAGTTCACTACCTGTACTTTGCCATCATCCTATTTACAGTCTGCGTCGTTACAATTTTGTCCGTCTCATTCCTGACTAAGCCCATCGATGATGTGCACGTAAGTGCCCCTCCTCCCCCCCGGACCTGGGATCCCTGCCCCTTCTTGGCCCTGGAGGCCCTCGGCACATCAACCCTCCTTTCGTTTTGGGTCGCGGCAGCTCTACCGCCTCTGCTGGACGCTGCGCAACAGCACAGAGGAGCGAGTCGATCTGGATGCTGGGGAGGCTGAGCTGCCGAAGGAAGAGGAGGCCTGCCAAGAGGAGCCCGGTAAGGCAAGCCTGGCCGCCTTCAGCACAGCGCCAGTGCCCCTTGCGGGGCTGCAGCCTGGCCGCGGGGCGGGAGGGAGTGCCAGGCCAGGCACCCGGGGCTGGGGAGGGGGCGGGGCGGGGGGTCGCCTTCCCCGGCGGAAGCAGTGCTGGGAGCGACTGCCGGGGCCGCGCAGGCCCGGAGGGAAAGAAAGGAAGGCGGGATGGGCTCTCCGTCAGGGGGCGGGCGCCGACGCGGGAAAGGCGGCGAGGGGGTCCAGTGCCGCGCGGGACGGGCAGGGAAGCGGGAAGAGGCCGGCGCTGTGGCACGCGCGGAGCGCCTGTGCCCCTCCCGGGGGCACGCTGCTTTTGGCGACGCCTGGGGGCCTCTTGCCTTTCTCCCCCTGCCCCTTCGTGCTCCTCCTCTGCAGACTGAAATTGAGTTGGCGGTGCTCTGCCCGCCAGAAGGACCTTTGCAGGCAGCGCCGGGGTGGCTTGCTGGTTCCCAGGGCCCTCCTCGCGCCAGTCCCTGGAAGAGCGTTCTTCCCGTTGCGCAAGGCCTGGGCTTAAATGTCCCTGCGCCGCAAACGGAGCATCGGGCTGCATCGTATTCTGTAGCTCCATGGCTGGAAGACTGTTCCTTGGCACCCCCCCCCCCCCCCCCCCCCCCCCCCCCCCCCCGTGTCACGCTCCCTCCACACGTCCTGCTTGGCCCACTTGACTACTGCCCGGTCCAAAAGGTTCTGTGTGCCAAGCTCGGCTTCAGGCAGCCACGGACAGAGGCAGAACCAGCTCTCTGTACCGCCATGAGTGAGACAGTCCAGAGTACCTCTTCCATCATCCTGCCCTGAGCTCAGACCAGCCTCAAACATGCAGCGGGTCAGACTGGATGGCTCTGTAGGCCCCTTCTGATTTGCTAAATTTCTATGTTTCTATGCACTGCTAGCCAAGTAAGGAGCAGCAAGGTTTTTGGTTTTTGCTGAAAAGATCAAAGATCATGAGCACCAGACTACAAAGTCTAATGTGCAATATATTGCTCAAAAGAATATCATGTTGAACCTTGAATTTAGTTTCATAGAAACAGAGCGAGTCAGAAGGGGTCTCCCGGTCCATCTAGTCTGACCTCCGGCACCAGCCGGCTCCGCTCACGACATGCCCACCATGTGGACGTCCAGCCTATCCTTGAACACCCGCACCAATGGGGCCTCAACGACCTCCCGTGGAAGCCCATTCCACACCCTCGGGGTCCTGAGTGTCAGGAAGTGCTTCCTGGCATCCAAATGGAACCTTGGCTCCCTGAGCTTTGCTCCATTGGAGCGCGTCCTGCCTTCCTCTGCAGGGGAGAACAGGTCTCTACCCATCTCCATGTGACAGCCCCTCACATACCTGTATGTTGCCAACAGATCCCCTCTGAGTCTCCTCTTCTCCAGGCTGAAGAGACCCAGTTCCCTCAGTCTCACCTCATAAGGCATCCCCTGCAAACCAGCCACCAACCTTGTGGCCCTACATTGCACTGACTCTAACCTGGCTATGTCCTTTCTGTAATGAGGGGCCCAAAACTGAACATGATACTCCAGTTGCGGGTGCACCAGAGTCGTATAGAGTGGTAGTAATACCTCTCTCGATCTAGAAGCCACGCTTCTGGCTATGGAACCAAGGGTGGCGTTCGCCCTCTTGACCACCGCATCACACGGCTGACTCATGTTCAGCCTGCAGTCGACCAGCACCCCAAGGTCCCTTTCACAAGTGCTGCTCTCCAGCCACTTGTCCCCTAACCTGTACCTATGACACCTATTCCTATGCCCCAATTGCAAGACCTTGCACTTATCCACACTGAACGCCACCCTGTTGTCTCCTGCCCACTTCCATAGTCTGTCTTTTTGAATCTGGATCACCTGCTCCTCAGTTGTGGCCACTGCTCCAGTTTTAGTGTCGTCTGCGAATTGGATCAGCAGACTGTTCACCCCTTCTTCCGTGTCATTTATGAAAAGATTAAACAGGATCAAACTTGTAAATGAACATATGTAACTCAGCACTTAAGCGTTATTTAGGGTTGCTGGAACTTTAATTCGGGGGCACAGGGCATCCATTGCTTATTTTCTTATGCAAGGTTTGGTTATTCTTGGATTGGTTCCAGTGCAGCCAAAATCGGAGAAGCTGCCTTGGGCACCCGCACTGAACGATTTGGAAACGCAGAAGCAGAGCGAGCCAGAAGGGGTCTTCCGGGCTATCTAGTCTGACCCCCGGGCTCAGTCAGCCCCACTCATGACATGCCCACCATGTGCACTTCCAGCCTGTCCTTGAATGCCCTCACAATGAGGCTGCAGCCACCTCCCGTGGAAGCCCATTCCATACCCAAGGGGTCTGAACTCTCAGGTTCTGGACAGGTGTGCTGACAGTATCTTGCTTGGAAGATGAGCACCAGGCAGGGTAGGGCTGAGGCCCGGACACTAAAGCACCACGCTGAATCCTCAGGTTTCAGCACTGACAGAAGCATTCTGCATGGGAAGCTCTCCCTCCCTCCACCCTTGAGCATCCTTCCCTTTCCCCTCCTCTGCTCCTCATAGGAGAAGCTCACTTTTGAACAGGATGCTCTCAAATCCCAGCTCAGTCCTCCCTCTCGCATGCACACATGCAGGGCGACCCACTCGGTCATGCGAGGCACTGCCCTCCCCAGCCAACCCCGTCTGTCTTCCAGCCCCCAGGCTTCCCACTGCCCCTCCACAAGCCCTCCTTCCCCACTCGCCCTGCCCTCCTCACCCCCCGCAGGCTGTCCTGCCTTACAGCTGCCCTTCGAGGCCTCTGCTAGACAGAAGTGGTGGGTGCCCCCTCCCCTCCCCCTCCTTTGCTCAGTGGCTGGAACGTGAAACTATTCGACAGGGACCCTCCTTCCCCGAGGATGTCCCGGGGCTGCGTGAGTGGCCAGAGATCCTGTGGGGAGCCTGGCTGGGGGCAGCTCAGCCGGCTTGGAGGGAACCCTGGGTGCCGGGAAAGCACCCTGCACCATGGGGGTGAGGAGGGCAGAGGGGAGGGGGTGCCTTGGAGGCCCCAGGGAGGGTGTATGGGGCGTGCGGGGCCCCACCCTTGCGCTAGGGCCTGTGTGTGGCCAGAGGGGAGCAAGGTGCTTTCCCCTCTGCTCCCACCCCTCCCTGGGGAAGGGAGAGCCGAGGCGCCTGCTCCGGGCTCGCGGGGGGTGCGTCTGGGGCCTTACCGACGGTTTCTGTTGCAGCCCGTGATGAGGAGGTGGGCTGTGGCAGGAAGGTCTACAACTGGTTCTGCGGCTTGGATCAGGGGGGCCCCCGGCTGAGCAAGGAGGAAGAGGAGGCCATGCAGCAGAAGCTGAGCGACACGACCGAGGACCCCTTCTGGAGGCGTGTGGTCAACATGAACGCCATCATCTTGCTGGCCGTGGCTGTCTTCTGCCACGGCTTTTTCGCCTAGACCCTGCAGAGGCCCGCGAGGAGCTTTCCTTTCGTAGGTGAAGGTCTATGTTGTGGAAACTGCCTCGCAAAGCTACGATTTGTATGTTATGTCCTTATTAGACTTGAAACCTGTGTGTGCCAATTAAGCTGGTGGACAGTCCAATCAAATCAGTTCATTGACAGGGCGACCAGGAAGCCCGCAGGCGATCAGAAGGCGTGGTGTGCGGGGAGGCCCCTGCCCCATCTGGCCTTGCCTCGCATGGGCAGAGCCGGCTGGCTGCTGGTCGGGGCTTTGGAATGCACTTCTTTAATGTGTGGCTTGTAAAGAGGTGTTTTTTCTGCTGCTGACACTCTCCTGTCCCCAGAATGTTTCTCAGAAGTGATATGATTTGTGAAGTAGACTTGATAAATGTCTGTTCCTCTTTGATATAGTATGAATCAATCTGGTTTTATTCATCTGAGGCAGAACCTTCCAGTTACTTTTGCCTCTTACACTGACAGTTTAGCATCCATTTTCTAGTCTAAATTTTTTATTGTTTTCAGTTGTCAAATAGGAATTGCAGGTGTCTGAATTGTACTTTTATTACCACTACAATCTGAATGAGCTTGAAACTATTTGAAGGATCAACACCTTTTCCTGGTACAGTCATCTACAGCTGGCATCATAGAACCCTCTTTGTGCAATGAATTCACTGTATCATTGTGCAGAAATAAATGAGCTCTGTTTTTTAAAACAGTGGTGCTGAAAATAGTGCATGCGGGCAATCTGCAGGCCAGACCCAGTGCCCCGAGCGCAAAGGCCCGGAGGTGTACAGCCACGGTGGGCTGCCCTGCAAAAGCTGGCCCCACGCTGGGACCGGCGCCGCTGGGGGGCACCTGCCTTTCGAGGGGAGGAAGCGCACGGCGGCATGGCACAACTGCAGGGCCATGGGCCTGGCGGGGAAGGACCCCCTGTGCCCCCCGAGTCCAGCTCCTCAGACGCACCTGAGCTCTGTCTTGCCCGACGGTGGAGGCGCTGCAGCAGTCCCCCTGGTCTGACCACACGAGCCCAGCCCTGCCTTATTATTATTGCATTTCTATGCCTTAGGGCCAAGCACTTGGAGGCAGGCACAGAACTGCCTGTGTCGGAGGCGAGGCACAGTTCACCGAATGCAGCGCTGCAGGATGTGGCCGTGCTGGTTCCCTGAAGAAGCCGAGCCGCTCCAGGGGCCCGCCGAGTTGCCAGGTGCGAGGCCGAGAGGGTTAGGCGTGGATTCCCCACCGCTCTCCTCGCCCGCTGCAGCAGAGGCCGTCCCGAGGCAGCCAGGCCCCCGTCCCCAAGAGTGGCACTGCCCCGCTAGTGCTCCCGCGGCAGAAGGATGCGGGTGACCACAGAAGGATTGGAAGGCAGCCTCAGCAATGATCTCGTGGCCTTCTTGGCCAGCTGGAGGCCAGGAGGCCCTCCCTTGCCTTCCAGGCACAGCTGGGCTTTGGGATGCTGGGGAGGCCGCCGCACAGCCGGCGCGCCTGGCCGCTCCTTGCGGGGAGCCGTCTGCCCTTGTCTGCGGCTGCTGCGACAGGCGGTTGGAGTTGCAGCACCTCGGACAGCTCCGTGCCGGGCCGCCCTCGTCCGAGCCGGCCACTCTCCCCTCCCTGAAGAGCGGCGAGCCTTGCGGAGCGATCCGCCGCGAGGCTCCCGAGAGCCCAAGGCCTTGCAAAGGGAGCTAGTGCCCGGCCTGCCAGCCTCCGGCCCAGGCCTGGGCTTGGCCCAGCCCCTCTGCAGCCACGCGCCGGCCTCCCAATGCAGCACAGGGTCAGGCACACCCACCGCCCGGCCAGGCCCCTCACGCGACCCTCTGCAAGCCACAGCCTGCAGCCTCCCTGGATTAGCAGACGAGCACGTCCGCTTCACTGGCCAGGACTGGGCAGGAAGGCCTCTGTGCCATTCCAGCGGGTCCAGTGACTGAGTTACAGAGCTTCTGATAGAGAGAGAGAGAGAGAGAGATGGTGCTCAAATTTACAGCACCTGCTCAGAAGCTGCCGCACATGAGACGGGAATAGAATGGAATGGAGCAGAAGAGTGGCAGAGTTGGAAGGGGCCCATGGGGCCACTGTGCCCACCCCCCCGCCGCACTCCCCCCGTGGCCACCCCTCTGGCTGCGGGCCTGTGCCTTCCCAGCCGAGCAGAGCGAGTCCAGCCTGCCACTCGACGAGGAGCCACCGGGCAGGAGACCCCCTCCTCTGCTGACAAGTGCGACAGACTAGCCGGGCCAGGGATTGTGCGAGGCGCTTCCGCCAGTTGCAGCGATCTGGCTGCAACAGTTGCAGTGCGGGACTTCTGGCAAGGTGGCCTCACCTGGCACTGCTCCCCCCCCCCCCCGGGGGCCCCAGGGTCCAGCACCACAGCAGGGGCAGGCAAGCCCGGCAGTTGTCAAAACTTGGGCCTCATTCCAGTGGACGCTGACGGAGTGCCCAGCGCTTGCCACATGCAGGAGGCCCTACAAAGGGCCCCCCACATTTCTCCTGGTGACTTCAGACGCTGCAGCTAGAGCCTCTGGCACACCCAGCTGAACCCTCCGGCTGGTTCTGATCCAGTGTCGCTTCCCCAGCCTCCAATATGTGGAAAACATGGGTGCTACGATCCAAATGGAGTCATCCCACAGATGCATTTTTCTAGGACGGAAACTGGAGAGTAGCGGGTTTGGCAACATCAGAAGGTTCTGGGTCAGCTCACCGGGCACGGAGGTGCTCTGGGACTCTCCCCACTTCCCGGGACAGCCCAAGTAACGCATGCGCTTGTGAAAGCAGATTTGTGTCCGTGGCTGTCCTTGTGGGGGGGCAGACGCAGGAGATGGGTTGGGAGAGCCCAGGCGTCCCTGCAGAAGCGACATGCAGGGATTGGGGCCTGTTGTGGCGCCTCCACAAAGCAGCCCGGTGTGGAGGAGGGAGCGGGAAGGCCTGCTTGGCACACACGCAGCTCCCCCCCGGGGCGCCTTCGCCACTTGTTCCGCTCGGCACTCCGACCACCACTTGCCTGCCGCCGCCCGTGTGAGCCGGGAGGCGCCGCCGGGCCCAGCTGTACCGAGATGCCTGGCAACTGAGCAGCCCTGCGCCTCCAGGATGGCACAGCGGGGCCAGCACTCCAGCACCCCCAAGATGGACGGGAGGACGGGCGGCCCCCCGCTCTGGGAGCCCTGGTGGGGGATAGGCAGGCCCTGCTCCAGAGCCAGGGCCCCCGGCTCCGGTTTGCTTGCTGCGGCGGGGCTGGGCCAACCTGCCGCAGCCTTGCCGTGCCGGCGTAAGGAAGCTCCAGAGACCAGACGCCTCCCAGGAGCCTCCCGTCGTGTGTCCTGGTGAAGTGGCCTCCTGCCGAAGGCTGCCTCTTGGGAAGGGGGTGCTGCCTGCAGACGCTTGGCCAGAGCTGCGTGCTGGCAAGGGTGATTTCCCCAGCAGCCGCAGGCCCTGCTGCCCGTCCCGCAGCAGCTGGGTGGGCGGGCGGCGGCAGTCTCCGGCAGGTCTGCGAGGCCAGGCAGCCACTGGGAGTCGGCGTGGAGACCTTTGCGGCAGGAGGAGCCCTGCTGGCCCCATGTTCTGCGCACCCAGTCCTTGAACAGCTGCCCGTCGGGAACCGGCAGGGAGGATGCGCAAGCGAGTCAATACAGCTGTGGGCACACGGGGCTCGCAGTGTGGGGTGGTCGGAATTGCATCCACTGCTCTCTGGTTCCTGTGAGGTTTCGGCCGGCACGGGGCGCAGGGAGAGCCGAGGCTGGCCACCCGGCCAGTTTTGTCCCTAGTATAGCAGCCATTCCGCAGCCTGTGGGTCTGCGGGGCCTGGCAGGGCTTGGAGCCATGTGCCCGCCTGAGCCCCTCTACTGGATGAACCTCCTGGACAAGTTACCAGCCCCTGGGGCCTCCGCGAGCCTCCTGGGGATGCCGCTCGCACCCCCAGGCCCGGCATTTCGGGGGCCACTGCAGGGGGACATGTGCGACCGTTTCACAGGCGCCAAAGGCCACGGCCTCCAAGAAGGGGGTGTGTGCAGCTTGGCTGCTGTGGAGGGACGGCTGGTGCGAGTGTGCTGGGACTTGATGGGAAGGCCGTGGCAGTTCCCCAGAGCGGGGTGCAGGACTCCCCACCGGCAGGTGTGAAACAGCTGGGGGCACAGACGGGGGCAGCACACAGAGAGGACCCTCCCCCTGCCCATAAGCACTGGCAGAGCTCTGCCTCACACCAGGCAGGCGTGCAGGAGAGTTTCCGCGGAAACCCCTTCCCACCCCGCTGCCCTCCTCCATCTGAGGCCCTGCCTGCCTGCCGCAGCCGGTGTGTTGGTGTGTTGGATGAGTGTTTCGTTTGGGGCAACCCTCCTGCTGTGCCCAGCATCCTCCTTACTACCAAAAGTAAACGAATAAGCCCCTTGAGCGGGGGAATGCGCGTGCTCTCCGAGGCCTCCTGAGCGGCAGCATTTGGGGCCCGTCTGGCAGCACATGGTGGGAAGGGCTGCTCCAGCTCCAGCGCTCCAGGGAGCAGAGCAGCCGTCCCTCAGGGAATGCGCCGCCGCCTCACCTGCCCCAGGCAGCCCCTGACAGACGAGCGAGCGAGAGGCATGGATGCTGCGAGCGCTTTACTGGGGACGGGGGGGGGGGGGCACCTCGGGCAGCGCTCTGGGCAATGGGGGGAGGGGGGCACGTGGCTTCTTAAGGCTTCCACTCAATGACTTGCACTGCGATTTGGGCTGCTCTTCTCACTGCCTCGCTGGAATCATCCAGTCGCTCCCGGAAGGCCGGCACGTGGAGCAGCAGGGCCTTGCGGCCTTCTGGGGCTTCCGCCAGCATGGTCAGCGCTTTGACGGCATACAGGCGGACCTTGGTTCTGTCATCGCTGAGCAGAGGCAGGAGAGCGTCGATAGCGTCGGCATTGAGGGCAGCGTATTTCCCTGAAACGTGAAAGGGAGGGGCGTGGAAGGGGCCACCAAGGGATCGCCTTGCGCCAGGCATGCTTCTGGCACGCCTGGCAGCAGCCGAGAGCTTCTGAGCCGCTGCTGCCGGCTCCAGCGCCAGGTGTGCTTTTCCAGCCGGGAGTTGCCCACCTGCTGGTGCTCGGAGCATGCACACGCATCGTGCCCTTCAGTGCTCTCCAGAGCACTGGAAAGATCCGCAGCAGCTTCTGGAGAGTCGGGCAGGGCATGATGCAAAAGAGCAAAGCGTGGGTCCTCAAACTACAGCCAGGGGGCCGGATCCGGCCCTCCATGCCCATTTGGACCCGCTGCCTGTGCCCGCCGTGCCCACCTCAACCTGCGCACGGGAGGCAGCGGTTTGCTCGCTCAGAGAAAACAATCTCCAGGCGAGCAAGCTGCTGCCGCATGTGCCCGCCTCGCAGCGCATGCCCGCCCCGCCTGCGCCCGGCCTCCTCTCGCCGACCGCGCCCACCTGCGCCTCGCTCACCTTGCCTCACCGCGCGCACCGCCCCCGCCCCCTTGCCGGCCCGAGCACACGGTCAGCGCCACCTTTCCGGCCGGCGCCCAGCTCTAGCAGGTTTCAACTGGCCCCCTGGTGGAAAAGTTGGAGGACCCCTGGAGTCTTAGTAGTAAAACCCTCTGAGGAAAAGCGCTGTTCCAAAAGCTTGCCCCACAGCCACAGTGGGCAGCCTTCCAAGCTCAGGGGGCGGCACATGGGTAGCCTGAAGTGGCCAGCACAGCCCCAAGACTCTCCCTTCTACCACGGAGGCCTCCTGGGATGAGCAGAGGGCCTTGCCCCGGAACCTCAAGGGGCACCCCTGGCAGGAGCACGGGGGGCACCCCGTGGCAGCCATCAGAGGCAGCTCCACGCTCCCCGGGGGCTGAGAGTACTGAGCATGGAAGCGGCATGTGCCCTCTGCTCCGGAGGGGCTCTACCGGAAGAACAGCCAGGAGGCTGCTGCCATGCAGCAGATGGGGCAGTGAGCGCCCCCTGCGGACCGAAGCTGGGCCGGCTTGCTGAGGTCAAGTCAAGGCCATGTGGCCTCAGGAAGCACACAGTGCTCTGACCCCGCTTTCCCCAGCTGCTCTTCCGTGAGGACAGAACTGTTCGCCCTCCCCGAGCAGCTCCACACCCCGTGCCGCTACGTCCCCGGACAGGGTGTTGTGTCCTGCGCGAGCCTGGCAGACCCTGCGCCAGGGGGCCTTCGGGGGCCTGTATGGCTCCCCTGGCAAGGGCGCTGCCCTCTCCCCTCAGCCTGGGGAGAGGAACTGGCACGCTGCTCCCGGGCACCTTGGGAGGCCTGCTCAGGAGCCCGGGGAGGGGGCAGGCGTCCTCCGCGCCGCCACACCTCCTCCCTGCACCCATTCCTGCTGCTCCCTAAGCAGGCTCAGATCTGAGGGGAGGTGCTGTGGGCCCGGCCCCTGCGGCCGAAACCCCCTGCAGCCCATTCTGTGCTCGGCTGTGCCGCATCGCCAACTCCGGCCCAGCGCCTGAGGCATGTGGCTGTGTGCAAACCGCCCCGCCCCGCCCGGCCTGCCCCCACTCGCCCCCGTGAACGCCGGGGCACAGGCGCTCTGGACGAGCGAGCCAGCGTGCGGAGAGAGCCGGAGGCCACGGGCCAGGAGAAGGCTGGGGGCGCTTGTGGGGCAGCCGGAGGAACCCGCTGCAACCCGCTGCAATGCCGGGTGCTCCCGGAGCCAGCGGCTTCCCCGAAGGCTGACGCGCTTTCCCGCACCCGGCCTCGGGGCAATGCTGCGCGTGGGGCGGAATGAGCTGTGCCGTGTGCCACGGGGAGAGCTGGTGGCAAGCACGTGTCTCGGGGCATCCAAGTGGCAGCGGACGGTCGGTGGCGCTGCCGCACGGAGCCCGGCTCAAGACTGGCTCGGCCACCCTGCAGGCTCCAGGTGCCCGCCCTGCCTGGGCACGGAGGCTCCGCTGCACGTCAGCGCCTGACTCCCGCCTTGCCCCAGGCAGAGCGACCGCTCCAACGGGGTCCACTGGCGGGGCACCGCTTCCGAGGCTGGCCGGGAGCCGGCTCTCTGTCCGCCTGTCCCGTGCTCGGGCGCGGAGCAGCCGGCCCGTCCCTGCAGGCGAGGCAGACCGGCTCGGGCAGCGCCCTGCTCACCTTGTGTGGTCACTGCCGCGTTCATCAGGGCTCCGGCTGCGCTGGCGCGCACCTCGGCATCCTCATCGTCCAGCAGGAAAACGAGCTCTGGGAACACGCCTTCCTCAAGGAGCATGTTCTTTCCCTCCAGAGGCACACTGGGCAAGCGGAGAGGGCCGATTAGCGCTGGCGGCAGGAGCCGCAGGCACCTGGACAGGCGTGCGAGAGGGCAGCCGCCCCGCCCAGCGCAGAGGCCTGTGGGGCCGCCCTTGGTAAGGCTGGCCCGGGGCTGCGCCCTTCCTAGCCAGGAGGCGGGCCGCCTGCCCCTGTGCCCCTGCGGAACCAACCCGGGGCTGGGGCTGGGCCTGGGGCTGGAGCAGAGGCCCTGGTGTGCGAGCATTCATCCCAGCGCTCCGCAGAGCTCGGGGCAGGTTGGCCCCAGCAGATGACGCCCCTGCAGGGGAGCAGGAGCAATGCTGAGAGGTCCCTGCTCTGCAGAAAGGGCCTGGCGTGGCAGAGCAGCCCGGACATGCTGGGCTGTGGGGATAACATCCTGCTCCTGTAGCTGAGGAGCACGGGCCCGATCCGGAGGAAGGCTCCCCATGCAGCCTCTCCGGCGAGAGCACAAGCCGCTCGCAGGTGCCCCCGGCTCGTCCTGCAGGCCTCGAGCAGAGCTTCCCGCAGCTCAGGCCTGCCTGCCAGGCCGTGCCCTCTGCGGCGGCCGCCCCAGGCAGGGCCACTGTGGCCAGCAGCGAGGGAAGGCTGCCCCCTTACAGGCGGGTGCTGGGGACGGGACCCCGAGTGGCGGGCTTGCACCTGATGGCCATGAGGGCCTGGGCAGCTCTGCTCCTGATGCCCAGCGAGGAATGGCCCAGCTTCTCCTTCAGGATGCGGACGGCCCCTGTGGCCAGCGCCTCAAAGGCCTCCACGCGGAGGCAGCCCACCAGCGTCTCCAAGAGCAGCTCCTGGACCTCTTCCAGCTCGGTCGCCAGCTTGAACACCAGGGAGGGAACCAGGCCGCTGTCCACGAGAGCCACTGCCCCTGCAACGGGAGGCGGAGGCCTGAGCTGGCGGGCTGGGCTGGGCTCTCCTCCTCCGTCCAGCCCAGCCCAGCCCAGCCCAGGACCATGGCGGGGGGGGGGGGCTGCCGGCAGCGTGGGGCACGCGGCCAGCAAGGCACGAGCGGCCCGCGGTGCCTGGCCCACCACTGATCCCCCTGGGGCTGCTGGAGGTGCGGCTGCTCTGAAGTGACCTCGTGTCCAGGCAGGGGGAGCACCGATCCAGCTCCCTTTCCTGAGTGGCCCGTGAGGACCAGGGGCTTCTGCAGAAGGGCAAGCGAAGCTGAATCTGCACATGCAGAGAGAGCAGAAGGGGACACATTCCCCCCTGAACACACGAGGGCTCTGTCCGCGTGCTCTTGCCGGGGCACCCTGCCTTGCCAACTGGCCTGGCGGCAAGGCGCCTCTGTCTGGGCGGGAGCAGCATGGGAGCCGCCAGCACTGCAGGGAACACCGGCTGCCCCGGGCCAGGGCTGCAGCCCCAGGGGGAAAGGGGTGCCAGAGCCCGGGCAGCGCCCAGAGGCCCGCCCGAGCTGCTGGCGGGTGAGGCATGCGTGCTCCCGGTGCCAGTGCTGTCAGCGCAGCCGGGATGTGCAGGTGTCCGTGCAGGCGGTGGGTCTCTGGGGGTCTGTGCTGGTTCGGTTCATCAGACCAGCCTCCACCTCCCCCCCCGCCTTCCCTCCCTGGAGTCGCCCTGCCTGCAATGCGCACCCAAGACTTGGCTGCCTGCTCTCAAGGATCTGTGCACAGGCTTCCTGTCCATTCTGCGGCTGGCAAACCTTGCCTGCGGCGCCTCCCGCCGGCGGCCTTCTGCTCACCTACATGGTTCCCACAACCTGCCCCTCGACTGCTCCGAGCAGCTGGAGCTGCACGCTGGAAGGACTCCTTGGGCGCCTTCTCTCAAGTCCCTCCTTCCACTGGATGGTGGGCTGAGGAGACCAGTGGGACCCCACCAAGACGCTCCCCTCCCCATTCTGGGGCCAGTTCCCTCGTGTGCCCCTGGGGAGCCATCCAGCGGAGGGGGGGGACACCATCCACTGCATGCACCAGTCCGAGCGAGCCCTTGCCCGTTCCCCCACCGCGAGGCGAGTCCGTGTGTGAGCAGAGCAGGGCGCCTGAGACCGTCACTGCTGCGCCGGGCAGCGTGTTCCAGCCTGCCTGCTCTCCTGGTCCAAGGAGCACTTTCTTCCGCGGCTTGTCTTGGCCGCAGGGGCAAGTGGGCCAGGCAGGGCTCACTGGCTTAAGGTGGATGCTTGTGGCAAGTCTAGGAGGATCTTAGGTGGGATCCAGGGACAAACCATGCAAAAATGTGGAGATGAGGTCATCTCATGAAACTCTTCCTGTCTTGGTCATTAAGGTGCTCCAAGATTTTGGACCACAGGCACATTTGAGACTCAAGAAACTGCTACGGGAATCACCAGAATTGCTGAATCATGGAATCGCAGCTTCGGCACTTGTCTGTCACATGTGTGGATTTCGGGCTGCACGTGCTGCGACAGCACCAGGTCACTCTACTAAGGGATTGTCTAATCTCTCTGCCCCCCTCAAGCTGATCTCCACAGGTTGCAGCACTGGACTGAAAGCAGCAGAATGAAATTCAATAGCGACAGATGCCAAGTTCTGCACTGAGGAAAAAGAAACCCAGTGCATTGTTACAAGATGGGGGGTGTTTGGCTCAACAATACCAAGAAGGGTCTTGGAAGGTTGCGGATCACAGGCCGAAGAGGAGCCAACAATGTGATGTGACTGCAAAAGGGGCACATGCTACTTTAGGCTGCATTAATGGGCATTTTGCTTCCAAATCACATGAAGTGCTACTCTGCCTTTGATCAGCACTGGTCAGACCTCATCTGGGGTCCTGGGTCCAGTTCTCGGCACCACAGTTTAAGAAAGATGCAGACAGGCTGCAAAGGGTTCAGAGGAGGGCAAAAAAGATAATCCAGGGACTGGGAACAAAGCCCCATGTGGAGTGTGCGAATGAGCCGGGCATCTTCAGCCTCCAGAAGGGAAGACTAAGGGGAGATGTGGTCGCCCTCTACAAGCACTTGAAAGGCTGTCACAAAGCCGCTGGGCGGACTTTCTTCTTGGCCATCCCAGGCTCAGGCCGCAGGGAGCCAGTTTCCAGCTAGATATCAGGAAAAACCTCCTGACTGCTGCAGCAGTGCAACAGTGGAGCCCATGACCTGGGGGCATTCAGGGTGCAGCTGGGCAGCATTGTAGTGGAGCGGAGTCCTGAACAGGGCAGGTGGCTGGACCCAACGCCCTCTGGCCCCTGCCAGTTCTACTATTCTCTGATCCCATGATACCAGGGAAAGTTGGAGGCAGAAGAAGAGGATGACACATGGTGGGCATGTCGTGAGCGGAGCCGGCTGGAGCCGGGGGGGGGGGGGTCAGACTAGATGGCCTGGGAGGCCCCTTCTGACTCGCTCCGTTTCTATGTTTCTATGACTAAAAACGGATCCATTCCATAGAGGAAGACACAGCCTTAAGTCAACAAGAGCTGAGCAGGGCTGCCAAGGGCAGGCCATCCTGGGGGTTGTCTTCATCCATTGGGTCACTGCAAGTTGGAGACAGCAGCATCTTGCAGCAACAAATTCTTCGAATCATGGGGGCTGCAATGCTGCTCATGCTTCATTCAGACCAATATTTTGGCCATGTCCTGCAGTTGCTTATTTTGGGGGGAAATTACTACTCAGATAAATTTTCTAGTGGAAGAAGCTTTAATATTAACTGAAATTAGGAAATGTCCAGCAGAAATAGATTCTTAACACACCTCTGATATTACAAAGTGAAGGATAAATACTCACCCCCACAATGTAAGGAATCATAGTGCTTGCGATCTTTGAATGAGCGCCACGTGCGTGGCTCCGCGTGCGCGCATGTCTTTTGACGTTTGTTGGGGCCGGACAGAACTGCTAGAAATGTGGGCACATTTCATATGTACCTGTTGCTATGGCGAGGTAAGAAGATCGGAATTTAAAGTGGGGGAGGATTTGGGAAAAGTCCTGCAGAATCCTTGGGCATCACATTGGCGATCCTCTTGTGTGGGCCCAGGGAGATGGCCGTGGTGCCCACAGCGCCCACAGGGGCACTCGGGGCCCCCTGCACAGGCCGACTACGGGCCACAACACGAGCAGCCCAGCGCATGCCGCGGCAATCCAAGCTGCACCAGCCTGCACGTCAGCATCTGCTGATATGGGAGGAAACCTGCTCGAGAGATTAGAGGCAGCCCGAGCCGTGCTTTCTAACTGCGCTGCTCACCTCTTCATGTGCGGAAGGAGGGGCCCCTGGAGCTTCCCGTGAGTTCCCAGCCCGGGGCATGTCAGCTCGGGCTGGCGCTTCTCCCCCCACCTTGGGGCCGCTGCCAGATCTCGGCCGCCTCCGTGCGCCTCGGGGCGCGTGTTCCAGGCAGGAGGCGCCGCAGCTGCCGGGAGGGGCCCGACGCGAGTCCACCGCTGGGCACGCCCTCCCCGCGGGCTCCGCACACGGGCCCTGCTGCGCTGGAGGGTGGCGAGATGACCGGCCTGCACGGCCGCCCCGTGGGCTTCGGGAGGGGGCAGCGGTGGCAGAAGGGCTGCAGGCGGCTCCCCGACCCGGGCGGTTCTTGGGGCCTTTCAGGGCACTTGCAGAAGGAAGGGTGGTGGCACAGGCCTCACTGCAAGCCTCCCCTTCTGGGACCTTTCGCAGTTGGCAGCTTCTGCTGGGATTTTTGAGAACATGCACTGCAAGCAAAATGTACTTGGATTTTGAAAGGAAACCGAACCAAACCCTTCTCTTATGTTGCCCGTTGGTGCGAGTAATATTTTTTCTTTCCCAAACTAGATCACAAGCAGCTTATCTGCACGATGCACTTGCAACCTCTTTATATAAGTTCAATTATCACGGTTCCCTGAACAATCCAGGAATCAATAACCAATTCTGTGATGTGGGCCTGCGGCTGCCCTGATCCAGAAATGGGGGGCGGTGGCTGAAGGACTTCCACCTGTGCGGGGGCATCTGCAAAGGGCACAGCCTGGCATCTGAGGAAGTCCCAGAGAGAGCAGACTCCACCCTAGAGCCCCTGATCCCGAAGGAGGCATCTGACATAGCGCCTAGATGAGTCCTGCCTACAGTGGAAGGAAAGCGTCACTGAAAACGGCTGACACAATGGATCAGACTAAGGCACGAACTTGCCATGTCAGGGCAGCCCGCACTCTTGCTTTTTAAACCGCGTCACTGCTGTTATGCACTCTTTTCACATGCTAGCCAAGTGATGCTCAAAATCCTACAAGCTTGGCGCCAGCAGTATGTGGACCGAGAACTACCAGAAGCACAGGCAGGATTTCGAAGAGGCAGAGGCACTAGAGATCAAATTGCCAACATACGCTGGATCATGGAGAAAGCTAGGGAGTTCCAGAAAAACATCTACTTCTGCTTCATTGACTATGCTAAAGCCTTTGATTGTGTGGATCACAACAAATTGTGGCAAGTTCTTAAAGGGATAGGAGTACCAGACCATCTTATTTGTCTCTTGAGAAACCTATATGCGGGTCAGGAAGCAACAGTGAGAACTGGACACGGAACCACTGATTGGTTCAAAATTGAGAAAGGAGTTCGGCAAGGCTGTATACTGTCGCCCTGCCTATTTAACTTATACGCAGAGCACAACATGAGAAAGGTGGGGCTAGATGAATCACCAGTTGGAATTAAGATTGCTGGGAGAAATATCAACAACCTCAGATGTGCAGATGATACCACTCTAATGGCAGAAAGTGGAGAGGAACTAAAGAGCCTCTTGATGCGGGTGAAAGAGGAGAATGCAAAAGTTGGCTTGAAACTCAACATGAAGAAAACTAAGATCATGGCATCCGGTCCTCTCACTTCCTGACAAATAGATGGGGAAGAAATGGAGGTAGCGACAGATTTTATTTTCCTGGGCTCCAAGATCACTGCAGACGGTGACTCCAGCCAAGAAATTAAAAGACGCTTGCTCCTGGGGAGGAAA